TGTTGTTGTAACACGAAGTCCTCGTGGTCAAGCTCAGGAATAAAGACTGTGTTCATTGAGCTCTCGATATTGTTTGAGTCGTCTGTACCGCCCGACACGTGGATATCGTGTGACATTTTCTTACTACAGTCGGAACTCTCCTTACTTTACCTTTTCTTACTACAGTCGGAACTCTCCTTACCTTCAATTTCGAAGAGTGAAATGATCAACATAACTAGCAGTATGCAGGACGCTGGAGTTCTCGCAGCTCAGTGGATAGAGCGCCCGCCCGGTATTCGGGAGGTCATGGGTTCGATTCCTGTCGGGGACTCAGAGTTTTTCTTTGTCCCACGCTCGTGTCATGTTGATCAGTTCACTTTTCACATTTCATTACCGAGCTTTAAATTCACCATCTTTAAGTTATTCACTTATCACCTTCATTTTTGTTTGGTTCAAGAGAATTGTCTCCGCGTCATGATGCGGACACCAAGCTCTTTGGAGTCAGAATTTAACATTATTATTGGACGAAATATCGTGATTTGTAAGTGACCAGCAGACCAATGTAATTAATTGCCGAGGCCGAAGGCTGAGGCAAATAATTGATCAAATAATTGATCACAATATTCTGCGATAACCGACTTCAAGAGTTCATGTTTAAATCGCACTCTTACAGCTCAGGGAAGTGATCTGCCACTTTTCAACCGAGAGCGTGGTTTTAATTGCGCATGAGCAGAATATTATTTGCAGCAAAACACACTGCGAGCAGTTATTTGCAGGTCACGTGGTGGGAACAAATTCTACAGCAATATAAAATAAATGAAAACTTTCAAGGTGTAAAGTTTTATAAAACAAGGCATTTGCCGACGGTGAATATGGCCGCCCAATGACAACACTTCAAGAGTGAGTAGAAGTGTTTGTTTGGTGTAACTTTGAACTTCTTGGCATAAAAGTTGGTTAGCTGCGCCAATGATTATCATGGTTTCTTTGTCGAATTGTCCATTTCTTCCTTGAAAACATTAATCAGCTCGTTGAGTATAAACAGCGTTCGCCATATTTGACTAAGTATTGTGCATGGTTTCTACTTTGTTGCACGGCCCTATAAGCAGTGACGTGACTAGTTATGTAATGCCACAAGCCTCTCACGCATGTCAACTGTCTACTAAGCGCGCTCGTTTTAACATTCACCCACAGTTTATATATATATATATATATATATATATATATNTTGTTTTTGTCTCTCAGCCAGTTCCGAACAATTTAGGTGCGGGCGAAATCTGGAATAGCCTGCCACTCCAATTTCAAACTACGTGGCGTGTATATAACAAGAAAAAAAAGCATTTGAGCATGGGTAGATTGAGGAGCAAGCTTGGTTTAAACATTTTAGCAAATACTTTCTAATTTACTTCTATCTAAAACTCAATAATTTCTGATCAGACCTCGTGTTTCAGTATCCCCACCTGACAGTCGGGTTTGAAAACCATGAAAGTCATGAAAATCCGACAGGTAGTGACCCGAAACGAAAACAAGACAAAAAACAAAAAACAAAAAACAAAAAGAAAAAAAAAAAAGAAAAAAGAAAAAAGCAAAAAGAAAAAAGAAAAAAGAAAAAAGAAACGAAACAAAAAAAAAATACGCTACTCTAACATAAGATACTGCTCATGAAGACGTTGTTTAAACAGACAAAATGTCAAAAAAGCTGCAATAAGTTATTGCTAACATTGTTTCAAATAGATGTCACTGCTTCTCGGTAGAGAAAAGTTAACTCATTGTGACACATTGCAGCGGTTGGCCGTGTTTCTGCGTTTCCATCCCAGCACCGTTCCATCAGGTGTTGCCAACCAATTGGCGGCCTTATGTTGTCTTCAACATGCAAGGGTCTCTTTCCTTTAGCCACTTCAGAGGCATCCAGATCTTTTACGTCGAAAAAGGCTCTCTTACCGTACCACATCTCCCACATTGTGATGCTAAAGCTGTATATATCGACGTGGCCACGATCATACACACTGGATGTAATCACTTCCGGTGCGGTGTAAGCAACAGAAACGCCAACACCAACAACACCAACATCCGCCACCTTCACAACATCTTCGGGCGATAACTGTAATAATAAGATATAAACTGATTGTTTTCGAATCACATAATACTATTATCTCAATACCTCATCTCAGAATCTGTACATAGGGTTCAGAGCCACCTTAAAGTTTTGAAAATTTAAGGTGGCCATGAGCCCTATGTACAGAATTTTTTGTTAACTTTGCGAAAAGTTGCGTCTTATCAAAATTTGATAATATAAAAAATTCACCATGCCGTTTTGAATAATAAGCCCATAAAGCTGTAATTAAGGGTGTTTATAGCAGGTCATAGTGTTGCTATGGTAACCTATTGTGTCACGAAAATAATAGCAACGTGTTGACCAATGATTGTGCAGTATTTTGATACCATGATTGTAGCATCAAGTGATGAAGAATGGTTATGATGACCCATCAAAATCAAAGTGATGGAAACTGTTTTGAGCCACCTTTAAAGGGTTTGTCGGACGAGGGGTTGGGATTGCAACGGAATGGTTTTTAAGAGGGTTTCCTATTGGGCTATATAAACTACTACGTTAAAGGAAGAGAGTTAATCGCTCATACAGGCCTTATTCCCAAGGTAATCCCCTTATTTTTAGATCGCACTCGGTTGGAAATCCTAGGACGGTCTGGACAAAGCCAATCCTGTGACGGGGCACTAGTCACAATGTCTAAAAATAACTTGAGAAAAGGGCCTATATGGTGCATTTAATCTCTCACCCTTCATCCTCTCTTAAAGTGTTAGCTGTGAACAAGAATCTTCAAGAGTGGTATAGAGTCCCTGAAAGGCCAAATGAACATTAGCTTGACTGAACATATCAGTAACAAAACAAGCTAGACTTGCAATTACCAGCACGTTTTCCAGCTTGAGGTTCATGTGAAAAATTCCTTGTTCGTGTAGGAATTCTAAAGCATTAGCTATGTTTCCCGCCCATCGGATTACTTTGGTCCTTGTAGCAGGGTCTGTGGATATCCTACATATGTTTTCAGGATTCAGGAAAATGTGTCTCCTCAAGTTTTCTTTGCAAAGTTCCAGCACCAGGATCCCCCTCACTTCTTTCCCTTCCTTAAGCAGTGCTGCACCATAAAACTTTTGAATGAAGGGATAATCAGGCAGATTCCTACGAAAAGAGGAACGATGTATAAATAGTAGCCTTTATGACAGTAAAGAGCGGTCATAAGTACATAGTCCGAATCTTTGATAATAAAGTAAACATTCCAATCAACTGAGACAAAAATAAACCTTTACTCTTTGCCTCTCCGAAAAGATTGGCTTGCAAAAGTTAGAAACAAAATGTTTTCAGGGATGTTAGTACAGTGGAAATGTAGAAACAACAAAATGCAATATTATGCTCCCACCAACCCGAAAGCTAAACTTACAAGAGTACTTTATAATAACCACTGATCTGTTTATGACTATTATTTATTTTTATCGCTAAGAGTTTATATATGCACAATTTATTTTCGCTAGATGTTGTCTAGTACAAGTTCCTCATGATGATCAAACGTACATCTAAGATTGAAATTGGTCCTGTGACTGGCTGTCATAAGCTAGAGGTTGGCAATACATCTTTTAAGTCGAGTTCTGTTAAGCTTGTTGACTAATTTAGTTATATTATAGATAATTTTTTAGAACTTAACAGATTGTTACTCCGCGCTATAAAAGACTGAATCAGCTACCCATGAATAAAGCTTGAACGCAAAAAAATAGTGTAGCTTGTAGTTAGTAAAGCCATATGGAATAAAAGGCTTCTTTCAAAGAATATTCTGTTGCCGTTTAGTCGTCACTCCCCACTTTAAAAAAGCATCAGTTACATACATCAAAATATGTTTAGTTTCCTGAAGTAAATCCCGTAAATTGGTTGCTATATCTAGCAGTAAGAGATTTTGATTTCCCACTGATGATCTTACGAAAAAAAAAAGATTTTAAGTAAACGTCAACAATAATTGTGACATATAATGCAGTTTACATACCTTTCCGTATCAGAAAAGGTTGTTCTTTACAAACAGTAAATAAAAGTCGTCCCAAGTGTTATCACTTGTGCAACCCAAATACGAGCCCGTGGAATGATTAATTGGACAAGAAGAGTAATATCGTTAAAAGTGAAAACATACCTTAATGTCTCTGTTTCAGCTAGGAAGGCATTTGCGTTGGAGCTGTTTAGCTTATCTTGCTTGACTTTCAAAGCCACGGGTTGCTCTCCATTCTGCACCTTCAGCTTTCCACGATAGACAGAGGCAAATTTACCTCTTCCCAGGAGGGAACTTCTATCGTCCTTCCATTCCAAATCGTCGCAACTGATATCAATGGTGCGTACTTCCTGGATGTCGAACAAAGCCATGTTACTCCTTAGATCTAAACTCCTTTGGTACAAAGGTTTGTAGAAATATTCTATTTCTTTCTGTAAGCGGATCTCATCTCTCAGCTGTTGACAGAGCAATTTGTCAGCCTCGATGAGCTCAGGGATACGAGCTACAACTTGCCTGAGATACACTTGACACTCTTTAAGTTGTTCCATCACGTACGACCGCAGAGACCTATCTTCAGTTGCCTCACGTAGGAATTCTTTGGAGGCCTTTGCCAGAAAGCCACATTTGTCTTCTTGGTACTTTTTCATCTTTTTCCAATTTTCCCGCTTCTTCATGAGGGCTTTCGCACCAACTATAGGAGCACTGACTATCAAGGCAATCAGGCCGATTGGAACCCAAAATGGGCTTGTGACACCAACGATAACTTTTTCGGCCGCGCTAAAGTTGTCAGGAGACTGGAAACCAGTTTCTGAAATAGCTGCTTCATCTGCTACGAAGTTTACGACAGAGCTCTCCAGATATCGAAGTTGTCCCTCAACATAGCTAAATCGCTGTTGAAAGTACTTGACCAGAGAAGTGCGAGCATCGGCAAAAACATGGTGGTCTTCTTCCCACGAGGCGATCACGTCCTGGAGTCGCTTCCTGAATGCCTTTTGAATGTAATGGTTGGTCATCACCCAACTTTCCTCAGCGTCTGGAACATCATCCAACGTCCATGAAGTAAATTGCCCAACAACATCAGGAGACTTGAGGTTCTTGGACAGTAAACTGACAGCGTTGTCAATCTTGTTCTCCAGATAATCTTGCAGCTCCTTGGCAACTGAACCTTGTTGTTTTTCAATCATCGCGAGGCGTTCCGTGATAAGCTTCAATCTCTCAGTAACTTTTGTGCGATCACAGTGAGAATTACGAATGAAAGCTCTCGTGACATAAGCTATTCGTGAAAGGAGGTAGTCAAGCCATCTGAAAAAGAGAAAGATTTCATCGCAGTAAATTTTCCAATTTAAGCAATCGGAACGAAGATGCCTGAAAAAAAAAAAAAAAACAGGGATTCAACGGGATTCGAACCCGTGACCTCCGTGATACCGGTGCAATGCTCTACCAACTGAGCTATGAAGCTACACATTGGGAGCGAGGTCAATTAATTGAGTTCATATCTTCCCGTGAGGAACGGGAAACGGCCTTTTGAGTAGCTTTCTCGACAAATGCTGATATCTCCGATGACGAAAGCGGGATGGGTCGAAGCAACGGATCAGATGACACAATACCGGACATTTCGCAATCCAAGATCCAACGAGAGCGCAAAATCGCGTCTAAGTGACATGTATGTAGTAGTTATTTCCTGTTTCCACTCTGTTTTACGCCTGAAAACCTAAGTTTAGAGAACTTATGCGTTGAATCTCCATCAGAATGCCACAAAATGTAGTTCTGAAAATATTTGAAAGAAATGTCTCAAGTGCTTCTTTTCGCCGAATTTATACTGGAACTTTATAATTTATAATTTATACTGGGAATCGATAGGAAAATACTTAGGTAGATATTTCTTGTTGATTTCGAGCAAGGCTAAGACAAAAAGTGGCTTTTGAGTTTTAGTGGATGTTTATGAAATGGCCAAAAATCGTAAAGTCCTATGTAAACAGTTTCCCAGCACAGAAAAAAATCTTGAAGTCCCAAACATTTTATGGCTTTTTTCAGACCTTTACTGATTACTCTCGCTATTCTTGTTAGAATAATGTGTATTTGCCGTTGCCTAGTGCATATATTTGCCATCAATTAAAGGCTATTCACAACACTACGAAATATGCACCTTCCTTAAGACGGAGCCACGGAGAGAAATCGAATTGTCTGGTTCAAATGAATATCTGTGCTTTGAGACTGATATTAGTAGAGCATGATCCAGTGGATTTCGTTTTCACATGGCCTTTCTTGTTGTAGAAATATTAAATCAAAGACAGCTACTTATATATGAATAAATTAGTGACAAACGGCCATTTTTGGAGGGGGTCTCCTTAACGTGAAGGGAATAAAATATTTTGCCCTAAGTTTTTGCCATAATCATTTACTCGCCAAACCCAACACGTGTACCAAGTTTGCTGTATCACCTCCTGCCTGGTTTTCTCATGGACACACTCTTAATATAACGTTACACCTTTCTAAAACAATTTACCTCCACTGCGTGTGCAGCCTTGCTTCAATACTCTTCAAAACCATGGATTTGATACCACTCATCAGGCTGACAAATTCTTCGGTGATGAATCCATATCCCTGCGCATGCATGGCAATCCTCGATGACATGTGAATGATCTGGGAATCTGGGTTTAAACTGGGCCAGCACCGTTTGAGTTTCTTAATGATGTGATTCTTAACAGCATCGGCCTCTGTAGGCGCAATACAGTCCCACTTATTGCACACAAACAGAGCACGAGTGGGTGAGAATTCCGTTTGTTGGTCAAGAGATATCTTTTTAGTGAGCTCCAGCAGTCTTTCTACCTAAAGACAAATAGAACAAAGGAAAACATTTCTTTGCAAATAGAGTTCTTAAGTCTTCTCTGTGACCTTGCTTGGCTCAGTTCAACTCGGAGGCTTAGTTTTTAAGGTATGTCTTATCCTGGTTAAAGATTCTCATTGTATTATAAGTAGGGTTTCTGCGTATTCTTTTCTCCTAATAATGATACGTATCAAGCAAACGGCAGATGATCGGCAAATAAATTATACTAATTTTTTCATGACAATACTCGAGCTTGGCTATCCCCGTTTTTATCATTGCACTATGATCAGCATGTAACGGTACTCTTTACCCAAGGCTTAAAGAAATTTCTACGGAGGGAGTATTACTATTCAATTATCAACCGACAGACAGGTTTTGTCGATCAAGGTAAAGTGTTGGAAAGTGCTTCTCTTGGTCAGGGCTGGACTTGAGGTCTGGTCGCCTCGTTGTTATGTTTATGTTACATACCCTGTCTGGCTGAATTCCTCCAGCGTTCGTGCTGTTAATCACGTAGATGAAAGCAAAAGCCTCTGGGAGGTACTCTTTGACCATGTCGTCCATAATCTGTGACTCACCAATACCAGGACTGTCCACTAAAACGATTCCTTGCTAAAAAAAAAGTTAAAAGGGTTGGAATGCAGGGAATTGTGAGACATGGTTTGTCTGAAATGATGCAGGTATTACAGATGATAAGAGTGGGAATATTAAAAAAATGTTTATCAGTCAAGCACATAAGCTAGTTAAAAAAAAATCGGAATATTTCTGACAGAAATCAAAGCCCGACCAGGAAATCTCCGTACTTTGTAAACACATCACCACATACGAGCGTCGAATAATAATTTTATCCAGTTCACTTTTAAAGCATAAAATGATTTCCTGACTATCTCGGTCTCCAACCGTAACAGAGGAANTGGAAGTTCCCCCCCCCCCCGCTTCACTGGAGCGTTTACTTATCACTAACCTTTAGCAAGCTGTGGGGCCAAAAGACTTCTATCTTTTTGTAATCCGACCCTTTCTCCCGTTCACTCTTTTGGTGCACAAAGGAAGAGATTTGTTCAAGATAGCTTTGTTGAGAGGCCTTCATTGGCTGACCAAGCCACACAGTCTTCTCAGCAAGTCCTGTTTGTGGATTTTTCTCTTTCAAGTGCGCCACTAATTTGGGCGTTGCTCCGTATTTCAGCTCACAAATAGTAGAAGTTGTGCTGAGAACAGAGTGAGGAAGAATTTCCTCTCCAAGAATCAAATTCAGCAAGGTGCTTTTTCCAGAACTTGTCTCACCTTGAGAATAAGTCTTAGTTAGTGAACAGATCCAGCCGAATTAAAAAGATCTATACGACTTTGCAATATAATTCGGGACTTATATATAACTGTGCCCCTTTATTTGCTCACTTTCGTTTTAATCAGTCTTAATTTGAAAGCGCTAAACATCACCTGTGGAAAGGCTTGTTTTATAGACAACAAGCCTTTCCAAAGCAAAGTTCATCACGCAAACCTGAGCATGGTAAGCCTATGTTTCCACTAGGTTATTTTCTCACACATGATGTTGAAGGTCAAATCACCAAGTTTTGGCTATTCTTCAACTAACTCCGAGCGACGTTTAAGTTTGCACGTTTTTAACTGTAAGACGTTCATGAAGTCCGAGCTTAACTTACCAAACAGGTGACGAAAACCGACCGGTTTGAGTGAGAGAGAAAACAAATCGTGGAATTGAAATAAAATTCATCGGAAGACATCCATGTGTAGGTAGAGGATTTATACGTTTCATGGCGTAATGAGGAAGGATGTAAAACTGTCAAGGCTATTCTCAGTGAAGACATGATTGATCATCGCAGTTATACACAACTTAAGCAGTTGTAATGTCAAGCCTGAAAATAATTCAGGCTTGAGCGCGACTCGTACCCATGACCTCTGTGATACCGGTGATAATTTCCAACGTGACCAGCTCCCAGTTGGCTTGATAGCTCAGTTGGTACAGGACTGCACCGGTATCGCAGAGGTCATGGTCTGTTCGAATCTCGTTCAAGCCTGAATTTTTTTTCAGGCCTAATTTCTAAAACTGCTTAAGTTGTTGTAACTGCGATGATCAATCATGACTTCAGATCATTTTCCGCAGTTCAAATATGATATTTCATATATTCACTTGTATGCTATCCCTTCATGTGAGGTGATTTAGTGCGCATGCCCATTACATCATCGTCTGGTTTCAGCTACAGTTAACTAACTATATCAGTTACGGGGCTTCAAATGTTATTTTCAGTTATTCATAACCTACCTGCAACGAGTACGACGTATTCCTTCTTTTCCAGGCTGTGTTTGTGCAAAGCAATTTTGTCTTTCAGTTTTCCTGTAATCAGCTCTAAGATAGATCTGAACTTATCATCCAGGTTGTTCAAACAAGCCTCAGTATCCTTGTAGAAATTTAACAGAGTTGCTCTTTTGGCCTCGTCTTCCTTCTTAGCCTCCGTTAAAACCGAAAAGGGCTGATAAAAGTAAGACAGCAAGATTTAACGGTGCTATGTAAGTAAGTAAGCAAGCAAGCAAGTCAGAGAGGAGGCCCACTCCCTCCTCTCTACCCAGGAATGTTTACAGTTGCCCTGAGTGAAGGCCTACTCCCTTCTCTCCATCCACTGTCTACATCTCCTTGGACTGTAGGTTTTGTTTTCTTGACACTCCAGGGGTTCATGGGGCTAAAATATTAACTGAGCACTCTGTCACCCAGTTCCCCATTTTCAGCCACACAAAGTTGTTGTTGTCCTTATTTTAAGAGAAGCAAGGGGAGGTTAATTAATCATGTGTTTATTATTTGATTTATTAAATCCTGATTTCAAATCAGACGTTTATGATTTGATATAATAACTCCTGATTTCAAATCATATGTTTATGATTTGATATAAATACTAATTTCAAATCTTGCGGTTATTATTTCAAATCACGACTTACTGATTTAAAATCATAGCTCAGTCATTGACTATTTGATGTCCAGCGGATGATGGTTAATTCAATCGCTTATTTGAAACCACGAAAAGCCTTATTTCAAATAATAAATCACTATTTGATATCAGTAAAACCATGATTTAATTCAATAAGTAATAAGTAACCGCAGCGCGTCTATGTGACTTGGCAAGTGGGTTACTAGCGCGGGAGTAATCGTAAAGATGACTAGTTATCGAGGTCAATCGCTTCTGCGGTCTCTAGAGCCGTAGAAAAGGCGGTTGGCCAAGTTTTGTCATCGCTTCCTAGCCTTCCTGGGAATTCAGGTTTTGCTCTTGCGACACAAGAGGTATGTACTATTGATGTATCACTGCATATGCATCGCTGGGTGATGACCTGTGTGTCGATGTGTGATAAAAAAAGAACTCATTATTAAAAGATGTCTTCCCTGCGCCTCTTCTATTTCTTACATGTTGCGCTGCATCATTAGTTAAGGGGGTCGCATGTTAATCGGAAAGCTATGAGTATATTTAGGAGGGAAAGAGGAGAGAACAACCTGACATGGTGGGAAGGAGAGGCCTTCCTGTTGGCCGTGCCTGCAACATGATATGGTAAACAAATTTATATGTGAAGAGGTACGTAAATAGGCGTAGCATTGAGACTCAGGTCTGGCGACAAATCGGTGTAATTTGTACCATTTTGCGGGAATATATATATTTAGTATATACCACACAAGTGAATAGTACTTTTCGCGCACGCTGATTGGCTAGCTCGGAGGCGATTAGCCAAGTACTATTCACCTCCGAGCGCGCCAATTTTTTTGTCCTACCATTTGTCGGTATATTGTCACAAATAAAGTTACTCTTTGGTCCGCTAGTTATTCAGCTTGTGTGGTATATGCTAAAACAATTTTCACCTCAGTGTCGGTGAAAGTGGTGGATATTTACCTCCACTTCGGTGAACAATTGTTAAATATTTCATCATCATCATCTTTTTATTTGCCTCGCCGTAAATAATAATAAAAATAATAATAGTCTCGCTACAGTAGCTATTTCCGGTAACACCACTGTGCACTGCTTGTGATATGTATTTATCATGTGGACATCAGGTTCTTAAAAGCCCATCATGTCGATTTTTCAGTCCAAACTAGAATTATGAACGGGTTAGACTTTGTTAACGTTTACTAAACAAACCCGTCCATGAGAAACATATTTACGTACCTCTTCACATACACAGCATGAAATTTTAAATTTACGAATCCGTAAAGATGTCGTAACTGAGTGCGCCAGACAAGCGAAAGGTCCAAAAGTAGGTTGTTCTCTCCTCTTTCCCTCATAAACATAGTCATAGTTTTCCGATTAACATGCAATCCCCTTAACTAATGATGCAGCGCAACATGTAAGAAATAGAAGAGGCGCAGGGAAGACATCTTTTAATAATGAGTTTTTTTTATCACACATCGACACACAGGTCATCACCCAGCGATGCATATGCAGTGATACATCAATGGTACATACCTCTTGTGTCGCAAGAGCAAAACCTGAATTCCCAGGAAGGCTAGGAAGCGATGACAAAACTTGGTCAACCGCCCTTTCTACGGCTCTAGAGACCGCAGAAGCGATTGACCTCGATAACTGGTCATCTTTGCGATTACTCCCGCGCTAGTAACCCACCTGCCAAGTCACATAGACGCGCCGCGGTTACTTATTACTTATTGAATTAAATCATGGTTTTACTAATATCAAATAATGATTTATTATTTGAAATAAGGCTTTTCGTGGTTTCAAATAAGCTATTGAATTAACCGTCATCCGCTGGACATCAAATAGTCAATGACTTAGCTATGATTTCATATCAGTAAGTCGTGATTTGAAATAATAACCGCAAGATTCGAAATCAGGATTTATTATATCAAATTGTAAACTTATGATTTGAAATCAGGATTTATTATATCAAATCATAAACGTCTGATTTGAAATCAGGATTCATCATATCAAATCATAAACACACGACTTGAAATAAGAATTTATTATATCAAATCATAAGCGCATGATTTGAAATCAGGATTTATTATATCAAATCATCAACGTATGATATCGTATCACAAAACTTTATTTAATAAATAACGAAAAAATGACAAAATTAAGGTAAATCATTTTTTTTACAAACGGCGCCCCATAGGGCGTTGGCCACCTCTGAGCACAAACTGAAACCCACCTTAGAGGCACCGTGAAGCAGGATCGTTTAAACAACTGCCTCCTCCTGCATTGTCATAACTTTATTACGGACACATTGAACATCGCAAAGAAGTTTGTTTGTGCAAACAAACAACGCAAAAGACATTTTGTAAAATATGAGTAGAGGTATGTGCTTTGCTTAACGATGAGCCCCCCATGTTTCAAAATGCTCCGCCACCTCTGAGACTCTAACTTCATTTTGACTTGCACAGGGAATCTAGTGATCAAGAACGCTAATTTTTGGGGGCTGAGCTCCCCAAAAATTGTCGTTTCGGGGGGGGGGGGGGGAAGCGCCTTGTTTCGTCGCCTATGACTCAACTTGTTTACTTACGGCGATTTCATCATAAAGTCTGTGATTGTCTGTCTACTCTATCTCTGAATCAGGTGTTGCTGACCGTCAAGTTTCGCCATTTTCAAACTTGAGCCAACAACAACTAACATGTCGCAACACGTCGCAACAGAGTGGCCAAACGCGTGCAACATGTTGCGCTCAACAAAGTTGCGATATAAAGTCGCGTTGAAATGTTGCGATCGTTTGGCTGGGGCTCTCCATGTACCAAAGTTAAGCTTAATTCTGTGGATTTTTCAAATTTTCGGGAAGGTATTGCCCATTGGTTATTGTATTCTCGCGGTAACTGCTCATCACCTAATTTGCAATTTCAGTAATTTTTTTACCGATGGAACTTTTCGCCTACCGCCAAAATTTAAGTTAAACGGCACTTGCCAAAATCATTTTCAGAAAATGCATTATCCGAGGTTGAGAGAACATGTAGCAAAATTACCGTGATAGTTTCCTTCAATTGGCCGTTGTAGATATGATTTAATAAGAGGTATATTTGTTAGGAGTGACAAATACAGACTGGCGCACAACTGGCACAAAAAAAAGTTTAAAAAAAGTTACGCTGTGTACTAAGAAACCTTTTTGGCTTGAGCGGTCGGTTTTCCCATTACAGACCACATGATATTCTCTAGAGAATTGACTAATTATTTATTCATATACACGCGACTGTTTGAAAATTTGAAAGCAAGAATTCTCATGAGTGTCATTACATGGTCTGAAATGGGGCAAAAAACCGCCCAAGCTAAAAAGGTCTATTGGGCAGTGAGATCAGAACAAGAAGGTCAGCGAAGATCTCAGTATCTGTAAGTAACAAGGATAACTGAATCATCAACAAAATTAAATTTATTTTGATATCACCATGATAGTATTGACTGATTTCCCCTTAATTTAATTTGATTGTAACATGATCTCACTCAAAATCTACTACATACCAAAAATCAAAACTATTATTAACATTTGGAGCTCGAACAATAAACCCTTAACTACCATGAGTGATAGACATCAACTTTCTCCTTACAAGATCAATACACTGTCAAGCAGTCACGTGGTGAGAATAGGGAAAATCATCAACTGAGGGGACGTTAATGTAATCCACCACAAATCGGTGAGAATCCACCACAAATAAAGGGGTTAATTCTGAACTTCTACCATTACAGAGGGGCCTTTCCTACTGTTTTTCACTAGGAAAATGTAATTTGGGTCACTGGGACTAGAAATCACAAGCAAACAATGGGAACGAGACTAAGGTTTGGGCAACGATTGCATGGGAATTGGCATTTTAACCCCTTCCCTTCTTGACTCTCCTAACTGGCAGAGATTATCTTAATGTTCTAAGAAATTCTCAGAAGTAACATTGAATAAAGTGTATTGCACTCAGTAAGGAGAATTGATGTTTTGAGAACCGACACAAAAAGCAGTGATATTCTTGTAAGAAAAAAATTGGTGTTGGCTTTTCTAGCCACTACTTTCGGTCTGTTTCAACTAGCATTAACTGGCTTACGTTTAAATGGTTCTGTTACGTATGAATAAATGTAACTGAGTCTCCAATGTTTTAAATGGTGTAAACGTAATCAGTGTCTATCAGTAAACGAAAACTTCCATTTAATTTAATCATGAAGCCAAGAGCTCACACTTCAAAAGGTAGAAAAAATCACTTAAGACAGCATGTCATGGTGTCTTAAGTGTCTAAATCGAAAACAAGAACTTTGAGACATTTTTAAAATGATATAACTCGTGAACAAAGTCTACCGTTTTTTTTCGCCCAAGGGACTTTTTCTTTATCCGGGTGGGCGCTGGCCACGTGATTCATGAATTCTGATTGGTTGTCTTTGAACGTGGCGCCACAATCTTCGCACACGAACATCTTGGCACGCCTCTCACGGAAGCCAAACTTATGGACCACGCCGTGAACACGTGTCTGGTGTGCCTCCAATGAACAGCGCTGAGTGAACGACTTGTCACACTGTTCGCACTTGAATGGCTTGATGCCAGTGTGAGTTCTTACATGACGCTTCAAGTCAAATGTATCGTTGAAGCCCTTGTCACAGAACGAGCACGTGTAACGCTTGTAGAACGAATGAGTTTTAAGATGCCGGTTGAGCAGCCGTCGAAGTGGGAATGTACTATTGCAGATTTCACATCTGTGGTTGTGGGTGGTGTTTGAAGATATTTTGCTTGCTTCGTCGCGACACTTGTTCGCCAGCATGCTAATCTGAGGTCGAACACCGAAACCCCCATTGGCCGTCACCCAAAAAGGCGGGCTTGAGGCTGTTCCGGTCAGTTCAGGGCGAACGTTAACTTGCGGTGTTTTAGTTTCTTTACTTAGCAGCCAAAGGGTTGAATGGTCTGAAAACACCTTTCCGTTTGGCTTTTCAACAGCGCGCCGCTTTGCATCTTTAGGCAGCAGTAAAGTTTCAAGATCATCTTTTTTCACATCCGTCACCACTATGCTCGTGCTTACACTGTCTGGAGATGCAGGCGAAACAGGGGAGTTGTCACATTCTCTTTTATCCACAGGGCTAAAAGGTTCAGAAATGCGACCATTCTGATAACCATTCGAGTTTCTTATGTTCTTGATAATACTGTGATCTGGAGAATTACTTCTTGATTTCTCGTCACTACGCAGTTCCTGTTCTACTGATTTCCTTTGATGGCCTCGCTTAGGATCTTTTCCATCAGTGATTGATTTTCCATCAGTGATCAGTGTATTTACAGCACTGTAGTCCTCTCTGATGGGTTTCGGACTGACTAGGCCATCTTGTAACCAAGCCTTGTGCCTTTCAGAGGAGAATTTGGACTCTATCGGTTTCTTGTCTACCTCATTCGGGCTTAACATCACTGTCTTTTCTCTAGTGTCATGCAAGAGACCGTTCCGTTCCCCCTCCACCTGGGAATTCCAGGCGTCTTTTTCAAGGGAGCCATTCAAAACTCTGGCCGCTTCTTCGTTTGCCGGTGTCCTCAAGTCAGCAGGAAACCACACCGTGCTTGGTGCACTTCTCCTTCGCTCTCTCGCTGGGTACGCACTATGATAATTAAATATGTTCATATAAGGCACAGACATGCGCCTGTCATAATGACAGCGTTGGCTGGTAGCGTTGAGGTCCAGCTCAGATTCCATTCGATCAATGATCTGTTCACTCTGTACTGTGCTCGATTCGTCTTGTTTCAAACTTTTCTTAATAATCCCTGAGTCTTTTTCTAGACCCTTGTTTTCTTCCAGTGATCTCTGGGGCTTCACCTCTCGGTGACTGAAACATGGTTCGATCGAATTGCTGACACTTTCTGGACTTACACTGCGGGCTCTTTGATGACCTTTACCGGTCAATATTTCCCTTTCTTCGTCCATCCGTTTTCTTTTCAGTGAGTCAAAAACGTCTCCAAAGGGTCGGTGATCAAACGAACAAATCTCACTGCGCTCTCCGTTTATCTTTCTATCAGGAAATGGAAATTTTGGCGGAGTATGGAACCCAGTTGATGATGGTAACCATATTGACGAAGTTGTGTCTAGATAATGGTACGGCGGCGGTACACTCTTATCATTGCTGACTGTTCCTCGAGTTTCTACATCATCTGGTGTCTTCCGACCAGGATTTACCTTTAACACACTCTCTCTTCTTGGTAACGATCGACCATCCTCTAAGGTCTGAGAGGATTGCAACTTTGAAATGGGCACAGCATGTTCGGCGAAATAATTACCTTGTGTTAATAACGGTGGAAAGAAGAACATCCGATGGGGCATGAATGGCCAATTTTCCATTAGTCTTTCTCCTGTAACACTGTTTCGCGAGAATGAATCGAAGATTTGTTCCCTTGGAATGCCTCCTCCATGTGAAATACGCGTGCTTTCAACACGATGGTTGTATAAACGTCGCAATGTGTCCTCGTAGTGTTTGACGTTCAACATATCGTCTCTTGACGTTGAAGAGCAACGTTGAGAGAAGTCACCGATATCTGAAGACAAAAGGCAAAAATAATAGTATTAATCAGTGTTAAAAATGGACGCAGAAGGGTAAATTGTTGAAAAGAGAGACGAAAACGTGAAATCATGATAGCTCTTAAAAGAATGTATGCATGTGGATCACACAGGCTTAAACAATTTGTAAAGGGCTTTAACATACATTTGTTGTTAAGTTTGACTACCAAATTTCGCAGTTCCACATGTAGGAATGACACATGCTCCAAGAAACAAACCAAAACGAACGAGATTTGAGAAGGAAAGTCCCATGCGTCTTGACAGAATCGTTTGCAAGATTAATTTAACTGGTATTTGAACTTACTCTTGTTTTTGATACTATTGGTTTGCACTTGTAATAACTTGTTATTAGGAAATGAGAGCGACGCGGCGCTTCTTAAAGTAACGGAATAGATAAGTAACAAAAACAACACACTGCCGAACCACAAATAGAAAAATTCTTTCACGAGAAAATCCCAGTCAACTTTTCGTTTGCTTCCAGAATGAATTATGAATGAAACTGTCGTAAAAACCCGTTATGCTATTGGTAAAAGCAGACGTGCTATTAGAAGAGAAATTCAATGCTGTCAAATTGAGGGCAAAATGTAAATTTTGCTCCATTTGTTGTCTTCGAATGGTGTCCAAAACGCTGACAAAACAGCTTCAATACTTAAGCGGATTATGCCGTGAAAAAATGCAGTGTTTTGACCACGTTCAATAGGCCAGTGCAACACACACTAAGGTCTAAACCCTCTTTAGACGTTGCACTTTCGAAAACGTTCAACTTGAAACGAAACGGTCTGTGATATGGATATGCATAAGAATCGGAAATTAGCAAACACTGTTTAGTTTAACGAGAGTGCTGTGTGCTTTTGCTAACCAAACAAAATCATGTCGTCGCTGGAACCAGCTGTAGTTATCTGGCAAGCTTTTCGTGTCCATGTAACACATTCGTGACATCTTGAGTAATATTCAGCAGAAGTTTTCCTGTAGACTTGCCCCTCTGACCCCAAACTAACTAAATCTTGTATGTCAGAGATAACCCCTCAGAAAACAAGGCTTTACCCAGAGGATTATATCTCCCGCCCGCCGTCTTTGTTTCAGAAAACACGCGAATGTTTCGCGGTTGGCTAATTACGCTCAAAATTCAACCGCGCGAGAACTTGTAGCGCCTCAAAATATACCAACAAAAAAAGGATCACACTCAGATTTGCGCGAAGTTTATTGATTTGAAATTGCCGATAGATTTAAACACTTTAGGCAATTGTTTTTAATTGCAGTTCAAAATTTCATCGTCTTTGAAATGATAATTTCACTTGCAAGGGCAAGTTTCCGGTTCGCGTCTTAACAGAGAAAACGAAATTGCACAATTTAGTGTAAATTACAGTTTTCGAGCGAAACAAAAAAGGGACAGCCTATCGTTTGGTTTTTTACGGTTTGAAGTCTTCGGTGGACGCGTGCTACATCCGTGAACAAACAAAGCGACCTTTCAGATGTCAATAGCAATTTCCATTAGCTTCTTTATGTAACCATCTTTATTTCGCATTTGAATATGAAAGCCCATTGAAAAGAACTATTAAGTTTCGTTTGTCAATTAACTCGAAGAAAAGATTTCCAATTTTCACTTTTGTCTCGATCATTTACAAAGCTTTGCAAGCCGTCGAGCCGATCGAGTCAAAACTACAGTTGATCGCACTAGCTTTAAAATTTCCTTTGTACGAATTTGCGTGTATCTTAAAATGCATCCAAATGAAAAAATTCCGTGACGATCAGTTGTTATTGCGACCACCATAAAATGAATTATAAGCCCCTGCGGCGGCTGTTCAGTTGTGTTCTTTGGCAAGCGTTCGTCTTTTGTTTTATTCACAGAACACAAAAAGAGACCGTGTTAGCATAACCTGTTAAACGCTTGTACCGCTTCAATGGTGATTGGATTCCACGCTACACTTGAAATAACTGTGATCAGCGCAAGATTTTCGTGACTCTGGAGTGGCTTGAGCGATTTAAATCGATCGAAAGAGGCTTGAATATTCGTAGAGTAAAATCGCTTGGTATTGATTAATACTAGACAAAGGGGAAGAAAACATGTCGCTATCATCCAAGATGAATTCTACGTGACCTCAATGCCCTCGAGGAAAATAAGGCCTCAGCATGAATATTTTCTCAAAACATCTCGTTGAGTAAAAAGATCGCGAAATAAAATGTTTTGACGATTAAATAATCGTTCAGCAAATACTCCCCGCATTGAGGACAAGAAATAGGTCACACTAAACGTATTTATAACGGTGGAGGAAAAATTTGCAAGGAAGGAACAATCGATTTCCCAAGACATAGTACGAAATTCTCATCTCTCAACATCAAACCTTACACAACGCAAAAATTATAATTTACTCACCAGTAGCACCGGTCCTGCTTTCTCCTTCGCCAAGATCGAGACGACGCTTCGCCTTTTTCACTAGGAAGGCTTTTGGCATGGTGGTTTCGGCAAAAATCAGCTCAAAATCGAGAAGATGAAAGAAGGAACGGTTCGAACCTTGAGAAGTTTACCCACACCAAATTTGGACCGACTGATGAAATTTCAGCTCGTAACAGCCGTGCAGTTTGTACGACACGTGCTGATGTGATCGGTGCTGCGAACCATGAGAGACCGTTAGAGGTGCGAAGTAAATTTATAGCTCATTCGCTTATAGCGTTCACTCGGTCATGTGATACCGGATTACAACCAATTACCCCGATATCATGGTATCCGATGATTACGTCTTTGTCCGCTCTCGACGCGAACAATAGCACAAGAAGTCAACAAACACAATACACAATACAAGTCTCTTTGAGGGTCTTTTATATTGGTGTTGTCATTTAATTTGGCAGTTCAATTGAGCACTTGTTACGCGCCGTAAATAGCAGTTTTATTTTGGGCCAAGTGGTTTTGGGCAGCGAAGCGCAAAAAAGATTCGCACCATCGTGAATTTACCGAGTTTCAATCGAAAAGCACTAAATAAATTAACTTCAACAGTCCTATAACGTGTTTTGTCCGAAAAGAGAGTTAATACCACTTCAAAGTTAACCGGACATTGACTTTATTTCGCTCGCCATGGCATTAAGTAAAGAAGGAAAAATGTCTTTTCTTCCCCATGCAGAACATATTTTGTTATACTATGTGTCCATAAAGTGACGACTTTCCGCAATGTGAATTGCGTCAATTCGCCCACTCATTCTGCCAAGTGAAACTACCTACCACTAAAAATAGTACCCGCGTGTATATTTAGTCAACTCATGAATAAAACACAATTCAAGCTGAGGTGAATCGCGTCAAAGACGGCAGCATTCCACATAGACGTCATATTCAAGCGAGCGGTTCGTTTGCAAAGTCGCAATGATCTGTTTTCGAAACAGACCAAAAATAATTCTGGTATATACTTTCTGCTAAGACAGAAAGTTTGTATCGAGTTTTTAATATTGATTACGAACGAGGCAAAGTTCATTAGTCAAAGCGGAATTTTATAGCAACTGTCACAGCTACAGTGAACCGCAAAATTGGAGACCAGCAGCGGACGTGAACTAAAACCACCAAAAAGACAACAGTACAGCTAAAATGAACTTGAGAAATATAAATTTCAAACGCATCCATTGAAATTTTGATAAATAAACATTGAAAACGATTTTTTAATAAAAAGTCCTCCATTTTCAATTAAACCTAGGATCTGGCGTTTGTTTTTTCTTTCGCGGTAAAAATTTATTGTCTTGTTATGATCACAAATCAATTAAATTTATTTCACAGTTATGATCGCAAGCAAGTTTAACAAGCCAAAGTGATAATGCAATTAAGTAACGTGTGAGAAAGCGTTTCAGACCGTTTCAGATCAACAGTAAACCATCGTCACTGTGAACGGTAGCCACTAATTTACACATTGGCACAAACCTAAGAATACTTTACTAGAACATGTAAATTAGGCAGACGTTTTCAAGGTATTAGGAACTGCAAAGGAAAACCAGACAGCACAAGGAATATTTAATAATGAAGTAATTCAAATCGTCTAGTAAAGACACCGTGACTGTCATGTAGTTTAGTAGTTTACTGCTAAAAAAAGGCGAGTTCGAATGACCCAGGGCAACAGTTATCGGAAGCAATGCCGACTGTCGGAAGCGGAATTTTTCATTAATATCCTTTTCTTTTATTGTGTTATATGATTCTATGCGTTCTCTGTCGGAAAGCAAGACCATGACAGTTTATAACCCAATTTCAATATTTTCAAGTCATGCAAGGTTTTTTAGAAAAAAAAAAAACGTTCGACTGAAGCATTTACTGAACAAAAACCCCATCAATTTGTACGTTATAGATTCTTGGTCAAAGATACAGGTTCGACTGATCCTGTGGGTCTAAGACTTTTCTAGAAAACAGCGAAAAAGTTCTACCTCTTCACGAGGTGGAAAATATCTGCCAGGAGATAAATTAGACTGACAACTTCACTGAAAAAAAAATGAATGTTGAAAGTACAGCTTATAGTTTTAATCCGGCTTTCATTGTATTGTGTTCTTGGGCTGGCAAGACACTTTATTCTCACAGTGCCATTCTCCACCCAGGTGTACAAATGGGTGCCGGCTGGAAGTAACCCTGTGATGGACCAGCATCTCATCCAGGGGGAAGTAGAAATACTCCTAGTCGCTTCATGTTACGGAAACCGGGATAAGCTCCGGCCTGACGTACCAGTGACTTGGCTCGTATGCAGACTTTACCTATACCAGGTGTTTAAAGCCGCTATGTATGATTTTTACTGTTTATGAACGAGTGAACCTTTCCATGGTCATCGGAAAGTCCTGTTTGTGATTACAAAAATTTTAAGATTTTACAGTCAAAAATGACTACCATTAAACAAAAAAGAAATTTAAAAAGGGAAATTAACTGCCATAGCGAGCGCGGTGCATGCAGTGGACGTTTGGAGTGTTAGCCTTAAGTACAACTACACAGTGCAAAGTGCAAAGTATAAAACACTCTGCTCTGACAAAGGGCTATAAACACTCAAAACGTCAGCTTCACTAAATCGCAACGGTGGCTACCTTCAAGTTGATAAATAATAATAATAATAATAATAATAATAATAATAATTTTTTTTTCAACTATTATATATATTTATTTTAAATTTTGCTTTTGCAACATTTTTTAACGAAGTTAGTTTTACTAAAGTAGTTTAGTTCCTCGAAGGCCACATAGGTTACGCTGTGCGCCCTATGCGGTCAACGCTTCGCATCCCTACGTTTTACACTGCATATAAAAAGAAATACAAAGCCTTAGAATAATTTAAAACCATTCTTTTTACAAGTCTCATAAAATACTTAACATTAAAAAAGATAAATGCATTTAAAACCTTATTAGCCGGCCGACGCAGCTCGATAGCAGTTATTTTAGAAACTAATACTTTCGTTCATCTAAAAAAAAGATTTGATATGACATATCAATATATCATAAACAGAAATACTTAATAAAAAATAGTCCGCTGTTGTTTTAAGCCGGGGATAAGTAAACCAACGCTCATCCACGCAGATCGGACGAGAAATAAGTTCGTTTCGTAGAAAGTAAAGGCTGCTTGCGTCACCTCAGGCGGCAGTTGTCGCGCTCCAAAACAGTGTCGTAGATATTTGATATTAGCGTTACAAAATATGTTATTGCAAAAAAACAACAACAAAATCTTAACTTGAAATGGCATGAAATGCCTGATGGAGTCACGTTTTGCAGTTTTGCAGGATCATAATTTTCGGAGAAAAAAAAAAATTCCATCCGCTTTTTGATCTTTTTCTGATAGAAAGCGAAGCACAAAAAAGACACCAGTAAATCATTAGTTATATTGATATTTCCAACGAAGGAAGCAAGGGGAAAAAAATTGGGGGGAGGGGAAGTCATCTTTTGCATTTCCTTTTTTAGGTGGATAATGAAACTTTCCGCGTCAATTATAATTACATCACAATTTTATGATAAATGGTGCACGAGTACAGTTGCTGGGTTTTAAATAGCCGCGAGCTGAACATAAATAATCTGATATTTATCACATTGCTGTAAATTGTTTTAAAAGAGTTTTCAAGTGTTTTGGCAGTGGGCCTCTATAGAGACGTATGTGTACGTGTTAGGCTATTCTCACGTCACCTTTCCCATGTTATATAACTTAAAACCTAGATCACATATAATGGCACGCAAACGTGAGTTAAGTAGAGGTACACGTAGATGCAGAGAAGGAACTGGTAAAGAGCGACTTTGTTCGTTGCGGGGCAAATATAGGGCAAATGCCGAGTTCCTGGTTTTGTGTGCTAGTCAAACTGTGATAAATAAAGAATCATTGCATACAAGAAGGAAAAAACGTTTCTTTTTTCGATAAATAAAGAATCATCGCGTACAAGGAGGAAATTGTAAAACAAACCGGTTTCTGCCCTTTACGATGTTTGTTTGTCATGAAAGCTGTTTTTACTGTAACTGCGACGTTTTTATGAATAAAATTTGCATAAAAAAATACGAGTCACAAAGCGAGTTCACTGAGGAAGCTCAAAGGTTACCATCAGTAGGTGATGCCGTAGTCAGTGAGTGAACGTTCAGTAAACCAATTTCGATATATATTTAAAATTCAGCCTAGCACAATAGACCTCTGCACGAGGCTCTGGTTAATAAATCCCACAAACTCTGTAGTTTTTCCCAAGATCCTCGAAGTGAGGTCTATTGTTTTAGGCTGAATTTTAATATATCGAAATTGGTCTATTGAGATCTACTGAGCAATACCTTTGGCCCTGAAATTGTGCTGAACACGGTGGTTCTATTTAAAGGAGTTCGCCGGATGAAACCGGATCTAGTGTGTGACCGTTCAAATGAAAACTATTGAGCAGTACCTTCATGTGGTACTGTTTATTTTGGCTTACAAGGTTGTTGTAACAGTTACATCTGGGGAACAAACCCTGGTGTGTGAATTCAAATAAAAGCTATTGACTAGCACTTTCATGTTATGCTGTTCGTCTTACCGTGAAAAGTGGTTCTAACGTTTTGTCGATGGATGAGACCCTAGTGTGTGACCATTCAAATGAAACTACTGAAGCAGTACTTTCATGTGGTTCTGTTATACGCTTTTCAAGGTAGTTCTAACTTCCAATATTTTCTGTGGACGAAGCCCCAGTGTGTGACTATTCAAATAAAAGCTCATATTTAGCATTACTTTATCGTGATCTTGTTTATTGTGCGGCTGTGCAATGTTAGTATATGAATTCAAATAAAGAGTTATTGGAGTACAAACGTGAAATAAGTTTGCTTGGGACAGTATTTTCCGATCCCTTTGCAAGTCTACACCAGATCCACAAATGCAGAATTAAATTCTCTTGCACTGATCTCCACATATACCTCTCGTTTTCTAATGTCACAGGAGCAACGTCAGGATGTGAACATCTCGCAAAGTTTCGCTTAAATTTGTGAAGTTTGTCGTTTGTAATCCGCGTCAATCTTTTCCATCCTTAACCATTCTTGTTCCTTAGAGGTTTATTATTATGTCTTTGGTGTTTTTCTATCTTGGTAAACTTTTTTTTTCAGTTTACCTTCAATTTAAAGGTAATTTTGTACATGGCCAAAATAACTCAAGATAACGTAAATGAACTTCTTCAACACAAGCGGTGTCATTATGTTTTCTTAGTTTCGCTTCATAGCATATGAGTATTTTCACAGGCAATATAAGGGTTCTTCCGCAAACTGACGTCAATATTAAACAAACATATACCGGATGAGGAAAAGATTACAAAAACAGACTCTATTTTGTTATTTGTGATGTTCTGTTCTCTCTTGACAACCTCTCCTTTGGAGTCCGCAAGGCTCCACAAAATCAAGACCAACGTCGTTAGGCTGATTTCGTCAACTCATGTGTTGTAGCAACATTATTCACTAAAAAAATGTTTAGGATGAACAAAACGAAGTAACTTGTTCTTCCCGGTTGATGCGCAACGCTTGAAGGGATACATAAATTCAAGAGAAAAAACAAAGAAGAAATGTCCGAAACGTTTGTGATTTTTCACAAGATGACATTTGCACATTTGATTTTTATTGATGACCATGGAACCGGAGAGGTCCACTAAAAAATAAATAAATACATAATAAATACATAACAAGCTGTCTCCATGAGAACTTCTTGCAATTTATATAACTGCATGGCCCTTTTTGTCCTTGCTTACAAACGCAAAAGAGATTATATTTGAAAGTTTCTAAATTTGTAAGTGAAGTCTGTATCCACTCGTCACTTAGTTTAGCAGACCATGAAAGTAACCATAGAAACACTCAATTTTAGGTTAAAAATAAATTTCAATCTCTACAAGTGCGGAATCAATTTTATTTTTTACTTTTAGTAAGTGGAACAAAGTACTCAAAGATAACGTGGGTGTATGATGACTTTAATATTGGCGTCATGCTACGTCACGAATCGTCAGAGGATGACGTCAGATCACGTGTAATGGGACAAGCTGTCGACGGACGCGAGCGGTACTTGTACTGGTCTGTTCGCTCCAGCGACTTGACGAACTTATTTTAAATCTAATATCAGCACCCTGGCTACGAAGCTAATATTAAGATATTAGGCGTCCGTCGATTTACTTTGATCTGAACAAATTGACGTGCAGTCGGAAAATAACTAGTGCAACAGAGTGAGTCCTGCTGGTAGACGGGCAGTTATAAGTTTACGTGGAGTAATAGAATAATTCTTGCCAGAAGGCAAGCAACAAGGAGAAAATAATACCACGGAGAGCGAGGAAAACACTTTTCTATTTACAAAACAGAAACGGCCTCAAATGGAACGACGTTGTCAATGAAGTTCAACCTCATTCTTATGGCGAGGGGGGACAATCACCATGGAAACAAGGTTGATACAGGAGAATTAAAAACACGATTTGAAGACATTTGCATTTTGCTGCTTCTTAAGCAAAGGCCAAGGTAAACTGCTATATTATGCCACCTCAAGTAATAAAGCAGAAGTAAGCTTGAACACAAAACTTTTGGAGCGGTTTCACATCAGCTCCGTGTTCACAGGTCTAACTCCGGAATGTTATGTTTCCCAGTAGCATGTGTCATTGATAGATTAACATCTATCTTATCTCATTACCAAGCTCATCATATACCCTCATTTCTTTCCAACTCGAATGTAGTTTGTCATAAGATCTCACTGGATCTCGCTGTTCGGGACTTATTACAATTTCGAAACGTGAAATTACAGATCGACGAGGCGAACAGATCACTGGTCACAGAAAGTTACTTTAAAACTTGCCTTCGCACTCCACCAGGCCTGCTCAGGAGCTGATGCTTCTTTTTTTTTAAAAAAAAAATTAAAATGTTCAATGTTGTTGTTTATAGAGGTCAATGTGCTTAGCTACACCTAGCTAGTTCACAGGCATGCCACTTAAACGGAAAGAAACAAATGTATCAACTAAACATGATAGGCTACTGGCGGGAGGCAGACCAGTTGGCTATTTACAAGCATGACCGAGGAGTTGAACTAGGGTCTACTGAGAAACAACTTCAGCTGAGGGGTCAGAGCGGGACTGGAATCCGCACGCAGTCTCCTTCGTTCTTTGAGTCAAGAGAAATTTGGGGGAAGAACGGTAATTCGTAAAGAAGAAAAAGAAAATATCCTTGGGATTGTAACTGGAAGTTTTTTTCCTTTTTGCAAATTGGCATGCATGTCTCCATCAATGGCCTGACTTACCAGAGAGATTTGAAATTTACGAGTGTTACTTTTAAATAGGTTAGTTAAGCTCAACAGTTTGCGCACACTGAAAAAATTTTAAACGTACCCTGTAAACCAATCAAAGCAAAAAATGTTGCTCTACCCGAACTATTAATGTTCAAACCAAGACCGGTTTATGTGGTTTTCCCACGCGCGCTTTCCACGCGTGAACACGTGCGATTGTTGTATTTGCGGAAAGACCCTGGGAACGAAGGTGGAGATCAATTTCCCTGGTACCAGCTTTGGGACATCCTCTAGAAGACCCGCGCTGTAAAATTACGCGAGGGAAAAGGAAAAATTTATGTACACACAACACGTACGGAATAGTACTTCGGTGTGGCTCGAATAGTGATCCGCGGGTACGAACCAAATTACTCCGTTTAGTTACACTTTGATATTTGGCAACTGATTAAACACAGTTGACGAATATATCCGTAAAGCAATTTTATCGTATAGAATCAGCTGTTGAGGCAGAAAATATTGCAAAAAAGAGAAAGGACACCTTGCATCTTCTTGCCAAATAAGATAAAGAAACAAAATAGACAAAAGGGAAAGCCGTCAAAATAATTTTCATTTGCAAAAAAAACTTTGATTTGTTTGTTCAATGAGCTGGCAGGTGAAACGAAACTTGCCTCGTTTTAACCCATAAGGATTAAGGTACTATCATTATTGATACAAATATCCGGTCAAAAGATCGTAATACGTATTACTTATCCGGGGGGAATTTGAGACTAGTTTGTCAGGTACAACCAAAGTTTCGAGCATTAGCCCTTGCATAGTCCCCAGTCGCCCGCGCGATGGTCAAAAAGTATTTTAACTACTGAGGAGGGGCGCGGGGACTTATGGGAAGGAGAGGAAACGCAGAGAAATTTCTTTTCCTATTTCTCTCCTTCCCATCACTGCCCGCACTCCTCACTCACTACCACCTCCCACTCGGGCTTTCTTGCTCACTCCCAGTCTCCCAATTGCTCTCGTATAGTGCGCTATGAGAAAAAAAGGAAAGCCTGTGGTGCGCTAGCCCGGCCTGGTTGTGCATAATTCTGGTATTATTTTGCGTTAGCTCCCACTTTTTTAAAAGAACTTTCACTCAATTTCAAGTTACAGTTTGAGATTGGCCAAGACTACAGGACCAAAGAAGGAGATGGTTATTGCTAACTAAATTCCTAGCCTGCGGAAGTTGTGCATGGAAAGGAGAGGGGCGCAAGACCCTGTACAACGCCCGTTGACAGTGATGCTGAACGAAAAACTTGCAAAATACCCCTAACATACATTACACTGTGTTCTTGTGAAAGACACTTTACTCTCATAGTGTCTCTCTCCGCCCAGGTGTGTAAATCATTGGTACCCGCAAATTTAATGCTGGAGGTGGGGGGCGGGGGGCGGTAACCCGGGATAAACTTGCATGCCATCTAGGGGATAAGTAGGAATACTCTTAGTTGTTTAATACAACAGAAACCTTTATAAGTTCCAGCTTTACTTGTTTAAAGGATGTACAACGCTATCCAGTGGATAAGTGTTGGCAAAACAAACTACGTTTCCAACTGGATAGTGATTTATCCGCTGAACAACCGAAGCCTGGTTGTTAAGTTTAATATTTTCGGACTGATGGGTCAGGCTGATATACCCTTCTAAACCACAAGATTCCATGCTACAAGGAAACGAAACTAAGCAACAACATAAACTGATATTTTTGTTTATTATTTACTGCTTGCAGTGCATCTGATGAAGAACGACACAAGTTTTGCTTTCTAGAATGTGAACTGTTTAGCTGTCTAACTAAAGGAGTAATTTTGCTTGGTTGCGTTTTTGACAGAGAATGCTGTGAGAGTTCAAGGAATTGTGTCACCTGGTCTTAACATTGGAATAAAAAAATTCTCCTTAATTACCGTCGGTATCTTGTGATGTAACTTTAGAGAATCTGGCGGTAAATCAGGACAATGTTTCCCAATTGAAGATTCCCGTCTGGCTACATACCTACGTTGCACGAACAACTTGTTCTAGCATACAACTTGATTTTCAAATGAAAAAAAACAACAACAACAACACATAAATGTGAAAGTAAAATCGTGTCCATTTGAAGATTAGGTTGACGAGTAAATTAATTTGTCCTTAGAAATGAGGCGTAGTTCCTTCTAGTCCTTTCACGGCAAGCTTAGATTTTAAGCATGAGTCTGTTGACGTGACAACCTGGTGACACAGCCCCTTTAACCTGCTGCGCAGTAGTACTAGAGTACCACAAAATGCGTTTATACAGTCCAGCAGGGTTAGGATATACAAAGCTAGCCGTTTTCGAAGCGTTCCTTTTATTTAAATAAAGATCACACTGCAAAGAAAATCACCTTCGCTCTGCATTTGAGTCTAGTCCAAATGGAGTTTGATCCCAAAAGGTTGTTCTTGCGCTAAAGTCCGCCTCATTCAAGCCTCATTTTCAGTATAGCTCTTGAGAACGAGGCTGGCCCTTACCGCCCTTTTGCACATGATCTTAGCTTCGTCGCGAGCATTTCAGTGATTATAATTAATGTCAGCAGTTTAGAAACTGTATTAACAGAAACATTAAACACCGCATGATAGTGTTCGTGATTCTAAGAACTACATGAGGCATTTACTGTCAGACAGACCATATGGACAGACAGACAACCTTCATTTAAGAACGATTAAAATTAAAGCTCAGTAGCTTATGAGGTCGTGGGAAAAGAGCGAGTATTATAGCCGAGACATTAGAGCATTAAGTAAATCCATTTTAGCCAGGAAGGGCATAACACGCGAAAAGCCTATTACTTTTTTCAAATTAATTAAAGATGACTTCTACATCTAAATCTACATTTAATTACGTTTTTAAAAATCGTGAGACCAAATCTTTCATCGCGACAGCAAAAGTGATTTTCCGTGCAGTGTAAGTCTAGTAAAACCCCTCGAAAACCAAAATCACAGCAAAGCAGCTTATGCCAAATCATTTTTTCTACAAAACAATTTTACATTTCCCAAAATTTTACAGCATACGCTTCACAAACGCGAAATTATGCAACTTCTTGGATTCTCTTTCTTTTCAATCTTCAAGAAATTTACAATCTCAATCGATATTCAAAATTGATCGAATGTTATTTTATATACATTACATAACAGGAGAACATTTTCAGCTGGCGAAATTGGAACATAATGAACGACATTACAATAACTGTGGTTAAATAACATTCGCAGAACGACTGAAAAGGTTTTGAATACACTTTAAAACACAACTAATGTAGTATGTAAATTTGAAATATTATTTAATATCTGTAACTCTGGGTTTTATATAACGTTAACATAACATTGGGCTCATTAAATATGATAAATATTTCTGGGATAAATTATTCTTCGATAAAGTAAGAGGATTTAGTCTTATCAATTAAGGCTAAAGGACTAAACATTTATTGCGAGTGACTGTTGAATGAGAACGATTCGAATTCTCTCCACTGCAAGGGAACAACCTGAACTGAACTAGCTCGAAAATACACAGACGGGTGTATAAGAAAGCTTAGAAAAAATCTCACCGAATTTCAGAAAGAATACTTTCCGTGTATTACTAAACTACGACCTTTGTGTTCTTTCCCTGAGAACGTCAAGCAATGAATGAAAAAAGCGAGAGGTAGATTGCTAAAAACAATGCACTCTATTTTCCTGAGCAGCTTTGTTGAAAAAATGTCATACATAAAGCAGAACATGTTGCTTATTTTCATGACATTAGCCCTACTCCGTGATATAACTGGGAATTCAACGTTCCGACAAGATTTTAAAGAAGTGCGAGCGGAACTTGAAAACGTGAACCTGGCGTTTTCAAGTTTGTCCATTGTGTAATCCATTTCCACCCGCGCCAGCCTTAGTATCCTCACTCTTAATGGGTTCCTGTCTTTGACGAGTACCATTGCGCTAATGCAAACCATTATATATGTATAATTGCTGTGATCTAGAAAGATGAAGATGTCCACGGTGCCCTCTCTATTGTTAGAAAGCTTGATTTATGGTGCGTATCGCAAAAAATATACTTTTGGTGACTAAATGCTTAAAGAACACACGCGTGAGAAACATGCAACACTTCACGCGAGTTTCTCTCGTGTGTCGCGAATCGAGAGAAGAAGAAAGTTGAATTGAATTTCGATTGAAATCAAGAGTGTTGTTCAATTTTAACTGAACTGTCCATTCGCAGTTGAAATATATCTCTTTACAAGACGATCAAGAATTTATAACTAATAGACTTAAAATGCTGTAACCTCTGCCACATCTTATTCAGTTATCACCTGCAATTTTCTGAGCAAATCCTCCATTTCTCCGCGCCCTCATGATTTTCTCAGTCTCGGGGTGAAACTCGTGCAGATGCTTCATAAAATCGGAATTTTCCGTAAACGTGCTGCCGCAGTCTTCGCAAACGAACATTTTCGAGCGCCTCTCTCGGAAACCAAACTTGTGTACCACGCCGTGCACGCGTGTTAGGTGCGCCTCGAGCGAACAACGCTGCGTAAACGACTTGTCACATCGGCTGCACTTAAATGGCTTTATTCCTGTGTGTGTCCTTATATGGCGCTTCAGATCGAAGGTATCATTGAAGCCTTTGGTACAGTACTGGCAGTGATACCGTTTGTAAAAGGAGTGAGTCTTCATGTGGCGATTGAGCAGGCGTTGGAGCGTGAACGAACTGTTGCAAATCTCGCATTTGTATTTCGTCTCGTCGTTTTCGCCAGTCTTTCTGTCCTGGTCCTTGTTTTGGAGATTCGTAAGGCACTCTTGTTGCTGGTGAGATGGTGGTAGAAATGGATGGCTGTGAATGAAGAAATGGTTTCCATTAAACTGCGGAGCGGACGCCTGCTGTGGAATGCTTGGGCAGAGCGAGGACTCCCGATGACTATCCGAAACATGCCGAAGGTTCAACGATACTTCACGAAGCCCATCTAAAGACGCACGAACAGGTATTGATTCGGGAATGGATGGTACCCTGTGGTCGTGGAAGTTAACAACGGCGAAACTGTTGGCTGTTAATGGAAAGTGATGCCTCTGATTCAAAGTAATGACAGAATGTTGGTCCGACGAATGGGCATGGTGTACTTTCGATAAACCGTTTCTCGGCACGGAACTGATAAGTTTAGGTGGTGGGGGAAGGTTTTGTAATTCATATCTTGAGCTGAAGCTACTCCACCAAAACAGATCATTACCATTCGCCCGCTCAGTTGTCGCTTCTCGCTTTTCAACTCGTTCAGCGGAGAAGGCGTCGCCTTCACATTTCAACCTTGGCATGGAAATCGCCATTTCATGCTCCAAGCCCTTGCTTAATGCGCTGTCTCTGAAATCAACCCCCTCGGTCTTTTCCTCCTCGTCAATTAACTCGGCTTTTAACATTTCTTCTGACGAAGTAGGCTTTTCATCTGAGAAGGAACCACAGAAGGATTTCTCGTGAATTATTTGCCGTTCGTAAAATCAAAACAAACATTAGCAGCAGACAGGAGTTAATTAAGGAAAAAGTGTTTTATCTTTTCGATTTTTTGGAAGTTATGAATCATGGATAACAACACGATGGCAAGTTATTTAATAGCTCAGTTTTGCAAATTACGTCAAGCGTTGAGAAAATTTCTTCCTTCCAGAACACTTGCACATAACAAGAATTTTATTTCAATGAAAAGTCACCCAATTCACTACACAAACAATGCGTTTAGAGAAATCTAAAGGAAAAAACTCACAAAATTTATCAATAAAAGGTGTAAAAAAAAACCTCGAAAGAAAAACGTGCTCTTAAAAAATTCACCACAGAGGCAAGATCTTGAGTAAATAAGGTGTTTCAGGGTGTTGTACACAGAAGGAATCATAAAAAAATGTCAAATTGTAGCTAGCATACCCGCATTCGACAAATTGAACGTGTTTTGTCGCTACAGGTTTAATAAGCTCACAGTCTAAATTAACTATAAATATCCACGGGTAGTTTTTTCAACACCTTTGGTTTTTCAGATTTCTGGGCAATTTAGCTGTGTTGTGAAATAAATAATGAACAAGGAACATCTGCAGCGTTTGAGAAAGGATTCCAAGATTACTCGAGGGATAAATAAAATACTGCTTCGCTCAGTTCAAGAAAAGTTTCTTTTCTTCAGTGTCGTTTTCTAAATACCCGATGAAACCTGTTAAGGGGAGGAGGAACAAATATTTTCATTTAATTTCATTCTGCAATCGAATACAAGCTATCCCACGTGTTCGTTAATAAAGAAAGACAATTCAGTCACCAGAAAAAAGGGTGAAACTGTTCATCGAATCCACGTTATTATTTTACGCATTCAACCCGCATAACACTTTACACTCTTGAGAATCTTTGACACCAACGCAAAAACTAATTTCAAAACTGGTTGCGAGAATAAAACGTAGATTTATGAAACCAGAATAAAAACGCTGTCAGTATCGTATCGTATTTCAGTGCCACGTTTTTGCAATATCACATTTTGCGGTTAGAAAGAAACGCTGTATCGAAGAGTACAAACCCTTGTCATTCTGTCAAAACATGAAGCAGCTAATTCCTCTTTGCGTCTCGACCTTGTTTCGTAATTTCCAATCATCTGTTATCTGTTAGAAATTGCTTTTCGAAACAACTCGTTTTATCACAAAAGGGCGGCTTTCACATCTCTCGAGCTCAAACCACAGAAAAACCGATACCCGGGTTTTACAAACAACTAGGACTCGCTTAAACGGACCCCAAATGGAATGTTCCGTTTGTACACGGTAAAAGGTCACTTGTAAGGTTGTTCGGCTCGCAAGAAATCGGGGGAACAGTTGCACATCCATGACAACATTTAAAAAGAAGGGTTTTGCCTATTTGAATGAATGGTTCATATGAAAAGATTTGCGTTCAACCTAATTTTAATCCCACCTGTAACAGAAATTTTCTGTCTAACAAATTCAAGCACACGAAGGGTGAAAACTTGTATCACAAAGTTCTTCATCACGCTCAAAACAAGAAACATCACGCTTTTAAAACTGAAACTCGTGGCTAGCTTGTATTACATGAAAAGAAGAAATGAAAGTTTACAAAAGGCTTTTCTCGGAAATATCTACAATTCTTTAGTTGCTTTATACAGGTACGAAAACAAAATTGTACAACAGTTTCTACTGTCTGTGGAATTAGTCCAATTTAAAGTAACTCGAGAAAATGTATCGACAATGAAAGATTTGGATCCAACAGTTTCTGGTTCAAAAACGAAACGAGACAATATTTGTAAGTAAACACGATTTCTCAATGATCTTAAAAAGCAAGAGATGTTGAATTAACTTGTGACTTACGCGGATAAGACTGCATTTTTATCTTTTAAAAAATCTATAAAAGGGAAGCAAACAATTATGAAGAACGTGGATTTACTTTTAATGTAATTTCAACACGCTAGGTTTCATTCTAAAAACTTTGATTTTATGCCATGTTCACGGTGTCACGACAGATACGAATCTTCTATCTCCATTTGACTTTTCGTTTCAGATATAAAATTCGATACTCGCAAAAATCTTCACACCTTTATCGATGCTCAAAGGCAAAGTTAAGAGGAAATATATAATTACATTTGAAAGAAGAGTATACAAAATGGTCATAAAATCTTGGTGAGAAAAGCTGAAGCGTGCGTGGTACTTAAAGACAAGTTTGTGAAGTAAACAAACAGCCGGAGAAAAATATATGAATTGTCGATTTTTCTAACATCAAAGACAAAGAATTTTATTTTATAGAGTGCGCGAGTTTTGTCCACACAATAAGTCCATAAAATCATATTGTGATCTGAGTTCTTTATCTCGCATGACAAAGTGACAACACAGGAAGGGAACTCTTCCGTTTGGGTACAGTAATTTTCTAAGCTTGCATTTCGTTGAACAAACTTGGCGCTGATGGGTCGGGTGTTTCCAGCTCCCTTTCTTTCTATTCTAGTCAATTAAAGCTGGCTTGAGTCACTCTAATTTCATTAATTTGGACACCTCGCAGAAAAAGAAAATTTATTGAATTAAAAGCCCTGCAATGTTCTCAATCACAAAGTGGTTTATTAAATGAAATCTATCACCTAGGACGAACCTTTACAAACACGGTGGTGAAAATTAAAATTCTATTAGCAGAGAGCCCCAAAGTAGCCGGGGCGAACTGACAAGCTAAAATCGGCAAACGCCCGCGTGAAAGTTTCGAGAAGAATTGATCTGTTTCTACGAAACTCGAACTCGTGGTTTCGAATCTTGAGAAGCGCGCACCAGTCCTGTCTTAAATCGACTATGTCCCTATGCGGAAACCACTGGGCACATTCTCGAGTGTTCTACTTTTCAGAAAAGCCTTTGATCGAAAGGCATTTACGTTAAGGGGTTAAGTAGCCTTTCTGTCAAGTTTGCGGCCAAAAGAGTAAGAATTAGAAGTAAGAACATCTGCTGTGTTCTCGCAACTCAAATGTCCTTGTCCGGCTGCTGGCCGGCTGATCATGTTTAAGATGTCGGTGCTTTTGCGCCTAAAAATGCTCGAGTTAAGTGTTATGAGTCTTGTCTTGTACCGACTCGAACCACTGGAAAGCTGCTTAGAAAGGCGTGGAAAAAGAGAAGGCCAAACAAAAGTGCCGACCGGGTTTTTGTTTTCGATATAATGCGTCTAAACACAGCGAAATTGACAAGTAGAGAATCGGTTTACACGTCATTTGGAAAACCACGAGAAATGGACAGCATTTGAAAGATCTCGCATTTTAAGTGATGAGAATTTACATAAATTTAAATTAACCATAATTGTTGCGACCGGATCGATTGATTTCTTGCCCTAAATTTTCGTGAACGATTCCAACGAGGGGGAGAGAAATTCACGGGAAAGGGAACAACGCCAGCGTGGAAAAGATCGCGAAGGAAGGAACCGGACGGAATATTTTTGTTTAACGGAAAGCCACGCGCTATGCTCTAAACGCTATACAAAATCTTCATTGTACGTCAATTGATGTATCCATTAGTCTCTTTGTGAAATGGCGTTTATCACTACACAGTGCAAAATTTGAATATGAATGAATCAATGATCTGCATTGTTGAATTCTTTTTTCCTGATTATCTTTACGACGAGACCAAAACACTTATCTGTTATTCGGGGCGATATTTAGCCAGCTAAGCGGTAGAAATCAATTCGGCGCCGAATGCGGCTGTCATTGGCTTTGTGTTTTTGCCTTCAGTGTACACAATGTAATCACTGAAAGCTTTCGAATTACTTTCCGTGACTAGGCAGCGTATGTTTTTACGTGCACACAGACTACAAACATTACCGTGTAATAGGTTGTGGCACAAACAGGGCCCTATCGAATATCCGTTGCATTTAACCTCAATTCTAAGCCCGTTGAAACCGGAATACATTGAGCGCGTCCAAATCTTCGCTTCTCCTCCTCGGCGCCCGAAAAATCAAAACCTATGTCGCCAAAACGCGATTTTTCTCCCTGCGATCATAAAAAGCTCTTAAACGGAAACCAATTGCCAAAGCTGTGATTTCTGCCGATAAGCATCGGTTTACTATTTGTAGTAACATATCCCTATTGTTCTTTGAAGTTGCTTTCTGTACACCCCGCGAGGACAACACTTCGGGCCTTTAAAAAGTCCCATCTCGAAGGCAACATAAACGACCACAGACACAGCCTGAAGGCGTAGATTCGAAAAGGCGACATTTTTACGTGAGAGAAATAAAAAATGGATCCCGTTATAGCACCGTTCGACCACCAACATCTGCGCCCGTAATTCTGTGACACTTTATAACGGTGAACATCACACAGGAAATGTTAGAAAGAAACTGCGAACAAAATCGTTTGTCAAAGGGTCAAGTAGAACAAGGAATGAACAATATTTTAGGCTTAAAGGGAAGTTCAGTTCTTCATGGTCTTACCTGAGTGGTTTTCTTCTCGCGGAGCAGACATCGCGCCTTCCAAGATCTCGCCATCTTCAGTGCGGCGCACTGCTTTCTTGTTCTTGACTAAGAACGATTTCGGCATCTTGCCGGCGCGGGCCAACGTATGTTCAAGTTCTGTAAACCACGGAAACCACTTCTTTAAAGTTTAGACAAAACTGCTCCAGATCTACCGGGTAGAAACTGACGAAGCGAGACGCTAGTCGAGAAGAAAAACCACGCCGCTGATATCGCGCGTTCGAGAAACGGTTTGATACAAGGCCGTTTAAACCGCATACACGCTTAGCGAGCTTGGCTGGCTGTCGCAGGCCCGAGGACCGTTACCTTGTTTGCAAGCTTATTCTTTCTCCCCGAAGCGCGGGTGTGATCATCTGATATATTGTTACGCACCAAACAATGTTAATTAATTTATAATGTACAGCACCTATCAATCATTCGACGAGCCAACGTAGAGTCGGGAACACAGTTTAACAATGGAAAAATCAAAAAACAACAAACATTAACAAAGGCTGGAATCACGTTTAATTTACGTGGAACCCCCCAATTAAAATTTCCCTTCCGAGCATTGACTCTCGAAGAGTCAACTTTACGTCAAAACCACGCCGAAACTGGACACGGTTGAGCTTAAAATTTCTTGGATATCCCACGCAAATTTTTTCTCGCTACTTTTCTTGAGCCGGAGTCGCGAGTGTCGCAGAGGAGGAGCTTCGAGGCAAAAGCCAATTATTTCGGTTAGCAAACAAAACGTAGTAGTATTTTTTCAGATAATGGAATTGTAATTCACAAACGACAGAAAACGCTGTTAAATCTTTTGTTCCTGTGGACCTAGGTGTCCATCGAATCATTATAATTACATCTGGAATGAAAAATAGCCCCGGAGTTTTTTCTTTTCAAGAGCGAAATGGAGAATTTTTCTTTCGCTAGGCAAAGACGGCGAAACAAAGCAAAGGAAAAAGAGATGCAATTTGACTTGGCAGTCGGGTTTCATTTACTGTTTGTCTTACGTGTTTGTAAGGTTTAATTTTTAAAAGGGAGCATGAATAGTGTTTTTAATTCGCGTAAGGCGATTGTCCGATTCAATATGCTTTCAGGCGAGAGCAAAATGCGCCACTAAAAGTGATTTATCTTCGTTAATTTCCTTCTGTCCACGATATCCTCCACATTCATAGTAACGGTAGTTGCTTTTAACAATGCTAACGTAACGGGTGAAGGCTATTGGGTTTATTTCTTGCCAGCCAACTTCATTAAAATGTAAGCGAGAACTAGATGGGTTTATGCAAATCGAGCGACAAGGCCTCCTGTTGCTCGTAATATGTAGCAGATAACACGATAAAACGCCAAACCACGCTCGCAAAATTCATTTCACCGGCCGCGAAGTTAATTTAATTTTACTTCAGCATATTACACGATTAAAAACTGATTAAAGCTACGGTCCACGGTGAATTACACGTTTGAAGAAGATGATTGACTTTCACGCTTGATGCGAGAATAAATTACTATGTGGTTTTTCTACTGAGAAAAATATTCACGATGCTGAACAACAGAGCACAATTCCATTTAACTTCACGTCAAGAAATTGACGCGCACTGACAAATTTTCTACTTTAATTTAACGATCGAAAAGAAAAATCTTCGATTTCCTTTATGACGGCTTAAAAGGAAACTACTATTTTCATTATGACGCGCAATTTTTTCCTTACAAACCATTACACTGTTTTGGAGAAATATTAAAAGGTGTTTCTCCATTGCTGAATGAAAGGAAGCAATTCAAGCTGGTAAATTCTTATTATGGAAGCGCGTGTAACTAAGCCACTAGATGAATGGAAAGCGATACGTCTTGCACCTCCCGTCGTGCTCAAAAACCACACGTCTAGAAACAAAGAATGGCGAGAAAACAATCAAAACAACAAAAATATAGCATGCTCATTTTGATTTTAACTCACGTCGGGGAATCCAGCACAATTTTGAAGACTAAATGCTTTTCTATTCTTCTCGACTTCGCGCCCTGCAGGGATTGTTATCAAATTCGCAGATCGACTAAAAGCTTCCTAAGTGAATGTTTTTCTTCCAAGCAACCGGTCCGACCGTTTTATAACAAACAAAACCTTTGGTTTTGAACGAACACCAGCATTAATTTTAGAAACACAGAATGTTATGCGATAAAAAATTCAATAGCTTAATTTCTCGGGGCGTGGTGTAAAATTTGGAGCAAGCCAAATATTTATGTTTTTCCGAAAACACTGAGGGTTCCATCTCACTCGCAACTGGCTTTATTGACGACAAATTATTTTGTCTCCGCGATCTCATTAAACCCTTTGCCTCCAGCTGTAGGGGGAGATCTCTAGGCGTCTTTTAATTTTGCGGCGCGGTTTATTAAAATTACTTTAAGACTCGTGCCAAATTTACCACGACACGCTTTCAGCAAGTCAAGCGAAAGAATATTTAATTTCAGATGCTGTGCGAGGAAAACACTACGCTAAATTCTAAACAGCCGCAACAACACTTGCCAAAGAGTAAACCAAATAGATTTTAAAACAAGAAAAACATAGGGTTCGCGTTAACATTGCAGCACAAGGAGTTAAGCACCACTACAAAAAATCCACATGACCAAAATAGACAATTTTCCCACCGAAACTACAGCCAAAACAATGAAAAACTAATCACAAGCTATATTACCTATTTAATATACCCTGCATAGTGTAAGAAAGACCGCCGACAAGCGAAAATAACTTCACATCTTAACAGAGAAATGAGTTAATCAAGGAAATGTGGAATTATTCTCTGAGAGAAATTCGCGCGCGTGGAGGATGCAAAAAAAAATGTTTCTTCCTTCCAACCAGCATAAAAAGAGAATGTAAACAAGAAGGGCAATAATACTAAGTTAGTTGATACAGGTTTCCTTTTAACTAAACCAGGATGTCCATCGGCGTATACTCAAGATGTGAGCAGATGGCACCTGTAAACATTACCTACTTACATCGCGGAAAGCAGTTTGATATAATAGGCGATTCGATGGCTGTAAACAATCCTCTCGGGTGCGTGTTTAAAGTCCATTTGCGCGAGACCGGCCAAACGCCTCGCGTGAGTACAGCAAACCCGTTGACAATCTCGTGAAAGAGTACGTCAGATTTTTTCGATAACCGATGTTTTTATATTCCGCCGACTTGTCAACGAAGAAAAGCCCATGTTCATCAACATGCACGCAACGGATAATCAGAAGTCGAAATTTCCATAAAAAAAAATGATTCCCTGCAAACTTTGACAGGTCGGCACAAAAACTGCGACAAGCTGTTATTAATGCCTTATGGCAAACGCACGAAGTAGAACCTTGAAAGCCTTGATCTTTGCTAGCGTGCATTTCGCAGGCGATGTAACTCGAGATTCTGCCCTGTTCGAGAAAGAAAACTAGACATATGCTAAATGGAAATATTTCAAGTGGCTTGCTTTTTTTGACAGTTATTCATGGAAGAGTATTCGTGAGAACAAGAGTTGCGCTACAGACATGGCCTTGCCCTTTACTAAAGTGCTAAACGATTTTCAAAGCGAAACAATGCTCGACCTTTGGCATCTCTCAGTGCACGCATGAAGTCTTTTTTTATATTAACGGTTCGGTGTTTTCAACCCGTTAACTCTAATCTCTCGCTGGTAATCTTGTTTGGGGTCAAGATGTTTCGGGCATTATACATTCCAACTCGATAAGAAATGCTTTGGAAAGAGCTGGAACAGGTAGGAACAAAGCCCCACAGCTTTAAATGATTTTCTTAAAAAAAAAAAAAACACAGAGCGCCCAAACGAGAGTACCTTTCTTCGGTAATTCTCCAAGCGTGCAAGTTTTCAATGGCCATGATGGTTGAGCGATTAATGTAATGGCGGTTAGAACAGTTCCCATTTGAAAAGCCACAAACCTTCATCAATCAGCAACGACTCAAAATAACATTATTGTTATTGCTTTGGCTGCAATCGAAAAACGTGCCACAAAAAATGCCCCACCTTGTGTTTACGTTGCAAGGGTGTAGCAGCACTTAGACACCAGAAAATATTTCATGGTCTGCTGAGCGGCGAAAATCCTGTTTAAAATACTTTCCTCTGAAATGTACATTGTGCATTTGTGCGTCTAATGAGAACAACAAAGGATATAGAAATACCGTAATTAGAAAATAAGCGATCGAGAAATTCACTGCTTAGAATTTCTTTTTAAACTTTACTTTATTTAAGGAGGAAATGTTTTCTGACTACATCGTAGATTCAAAAACCGAACACTAGTCTCGCGAAAGACCGACATTATCAAACAACTTAGATCTCTTTGCTGATTATTCTACAACACATTAATTATTCTGGGTGGAGATGTCAACGACGAAGAATTTTCGCAAAAGCTCGACAAGAACTATAAATAAGAACAAATTCCAAATGAATTATCTTAGGCTAAGAGAAGTGCTTAGGCTGTAGTTCTAAGCCATCTTCGAACGAACGTTGCACATCGAGAGATGTTCTCCCAAGCTTTCTTCTTACCGATAAAATTGTACGTGAGCACTCTTGTAATATGGTTTATTCTCACAGCAAATCGCAAGGCACCGCGTTAAAAACACGTTTTGTAAAGAGAACAAAGAATGCTGTTTTTGCACACTCACTGAAAAGGAACAAAGAACATTATTTTAATCCATCTTGACTCGGGTATTCGGTTACAACCACAAGATCACCTAGGACCACTGAAACGACCAAGTTCTCCTTTTTCAGCTGCTTTCAATAATCGTCTTGACTAATTTATGAGACAGACTAAGTATTAAGCAATTCTTCCATTAGCAAGACGTTAAAATACAGGGATGCAAGAAGAAAGCCCAAATTATCCAAGAACAAATTTGTAAAAATAAAAAATAAAAATAAAAATAAATGCGAGCAAGGCTGCGCGTGTAAAAACAAGTTAATCCACGCGCAAATAAAATTTTTTCTTCATTGACATAAACTTGCCAGTGCGTTACAGACCTGAGAATTCTCTGACCGAGACATACTTCCAGCAGCGTTGGTTCAATTAAGCTTCTTTTTACTCAGCTGTACTGGTAACAAACATTAGAATATTTTAATTAGGAAACCAACTCTAGAATCGGCAATTAAGAATTTCTAAATACGTTGATAAATTTCGATTGCGAGTAGTTTAACAAGGAAGGAGAAATGGAAAACATAATATTTTAGGAAACTGCAAATCATCAGCGATAAAGTGTGTGTCAAATGATATCTAAAGCTTGCGTGTATTACTGGTTTTGCAGCTTTCAGGAAGAAATACGAGAAGTTAAAGCGATAACGTTTGGCCATTTCGTTAACAATACGCCCCCACGACTTAACGATACGATATTTATAAACTGGGGGTGTAGAAAGCCAAATAGCGTATTTATATTTCCTGACTTGTAGATAAGTAATTGATTTCTCGCAAAAATGAACTTCTCAAAATAGGGAAGTTCGTGCCAGATTTCGCGAAGAAAAATCTGGAAGGAGTAAAATAATATCAAAAGCAACTGATTTTTGAGTTAGAAATGCAAGAAAGAAACCGCTAAAAAGTTTGCGTGATCCGCCAAAGCCAAAAAGAGCCATGTGAATTGAAACCCTACCAGGGCTATTAACACATAGCGGAACGGGCTTGGCGACTGCATGTCGCGCTCTTGGCCTTTCTTGCCTCTTGAGACAAGAGGAAGTTAAATAAAAGTTACCTGCAAACGCAAGGACAAGAAATAATTTAACGAGCAAAGAGGTTTGTTTATCGCCGCTAAGGATTGACTTCGGTCGGCGAGGGGTCGAGACAATAGGGCGACATGACTGAAGGAGAACTGTTTTAGTCGGAGAAAGATGGTTGAGAGGAGCAAAATACACCATGAATGACCTAGAACGTAAAGAGCCAATAATTTATCTAGCTTTGTCGAGCAACACTCGACAAACAATCAGAAGGCATTATCGAGTGAGTCTGACTAGCAAGGACGAAAGAGGAAATGGATGGCAAGGTGAACAAACTTGAAAATGCGAAGGTCAAGTTATCGCAACTTTTAAAACTCATTAAATTTTCATTTCATAAATTGAGGGAAAAAGTCATGAATGTGTTATACTTTTGACAGAACAAACTACATGCATGCGCTTGGTGACAGGGCTAATTTAGATCAACATGAATTTTCTCCTGTAAAAATCTGTACATTGTCAACCAGGCAGGTGAAGAGAAAAAAGAAAATCATCAACCAAGAGGTATTGTGCTGATATACTACCAAATTCCCACAACTAACACTGATAGAAATTTATGGAAATAGTTACGAGAATTAATCTGTTGATATCAAGTCGTTTCAACCGAGCGCCGCACAAGGAGAATTTAAGACTGCGGATGGTATAGCCTGCAGTGGAGGCGTAATATTGGCTCGCGAGAGGACGTTTTCGTATCAGGCTCCGTGCTTAGCGAGGGCCGTACAATAGTAACACTGAGGGTCTTTTCTCTGCACGGAATTCCTCAGCAAATTTGGTTAATGAGAAAATCTACAGGTAGACTTTGTGAATGAAAAGGAGAAACAGAAAACAACAGCTCAAGCCGGGAGAACAAAAGTAATTGATCTCCACTATTTTCATTCGTTCTTGTTAATCTGTACCTCCTTCGTTTGTATTCTTTATCTATTGTTTCGTTCGACCAATAATAAACAAACTTGTGAATGGTGCAGGGCGCCATTAAAAGGAAGATACGACGATTTCAAATAGATTAAAATGAGTCGTTCAGTCAATTTTTCAAGTACGCCGATTTTAATCCTTCGTAACCATCCTCAATCGCAGATAACCTTCTTCATTTTAGGTTCATTTGTATTTCTTTGGTGTTTTTCTACACTTACAACGCTCTTACTCTGAGCTTTCCTTCAATTTCAAAGTAAATTTGCAAACCACTTCTTAAAATATCGCGACAAAGCTCCGTCAAGAAGATCAGGAAGTTCACGCGGTAAAGTACCCTAGAAACGTTTGGCGCAGCAATGGAGCGGCATCCAAACTGGTTGATTTATGCTCGGCCTGCTCAGCTTTAATTGTTGACATAGCCACGTCAGTTTACACCCAGTCAACATTAAACGTGCGCGCAGTCATACACCGTGGTAACGGACAAACAACCAATAGGACGTAAACACGGATCTTTGTAGAACTACAGCTGAATCACGAAAACAAAAAAGTTCGAGATAACGGGAGTTGAGATAGCTGATAGCAAATGACTGAAAAGTATACCGTAAACTTCCGCTTATAAGCCATCCTGCTTATAAGCCCTTCCAGTTATAAACCCATCTTCTTGCAGACAAAATATTACTTCCGATTATTACCCCCCCCCCCC